CGGATGGATCGCTAGCCATCTCCTTTCTCGACGAGCAATGTCAGCTGACATAAGATGTAATTACTTTCAACCACCACAGTGCCCAAGGTCTGCACTTACATTAATGATTGACTGAAATGCGTGTGTAGAAGCAATCGGCTTCCTACCGATTGCCTCCGACTATCTAATATCATTGAATCAATGTGCACCGTGATAGCGAGCTACCTACAATGGTGGTCACATTGCAAAACCTGACTGATAGAATTCAGTCTGCACCAAAGAAAGGACTAGACACGTCACACTAGTTACTAGTGTCCAATCCAGATACCCACTACAGTCCTACAGGAGGTCAGTCATGAGCCCGAATAGCTCAGTGGTAACGTCTCTGACTGCAGCACTCACTAGGTGACGCGGGTTCGAATCTCAGAAGGGACGTGAGTTCCTTCAAGGTTGCAGATACTCCTTGCTGACTGGTGAGTGCCAACTAGCACGAAACCTAGGTCCAAGGCTTCCTGCCGATTGCCTCCGACTATTTAGTTTAAATAACTGTTGTTTCCTAGCCAGTTGAATTGAAGACAACAGAACACCACACAAACAGATTTGACTATTTATCAATGCTTTCTTTACTCAGATTTGTTTATCCTTCCTGAGTATTTTTTTTTCTTTAAAAAAACGCTTTGTTTCGCTTCCTGCTTCCTCTGACTTCTTTCCAAATTAAAATATTTGTGATTTCATTCACTTTGTTTTTTTATATCATGAATTGATATTTCCTTTATCTGAGATTTAAGGAAACGCCACCATTCTGTTAATCGATTTAGATTTATCAATGTCAATGATTTATAAACAAGCAACAAAATATTTGTTGATGAAGAAGGATATAGTGAATTCATCCAGTGACAGGAGAATTCTTCAACTGAAATACCCTACATACTGTGTTATATGTGTAAGGCGGATATTAGATGGTTGGAGGCAATTGGTTATAGGAAGCCTTGCTGGGACATAGGTTTCGTCGTAGTTGGCACTCACCAGTCAGTCAGCAACAGGTATCTGCAGTCTTGACGAAACTTATGTCCTTTCTGAGATTCGAGCCCGCATCACCCAGTAAGTGCTGCAGTCAGAGACGTTATTCAGGTTCGCGATTGACCTCCTATAGGACTGTATTGGATTCTTTTGATTGGACACTAGTCAGTAACTAGTGTAATTATTTATTATTATTGTTTCCTTTAATTCCTAGAGTAACATAGGGCTTCAGCCGTGCGTCTCCATTGCATTCGGTTCTCTGCTACAGTCTTCACCTGGCTCCATGTCTGCCCACACGTTTTCATCTCCTCTTCACATGACCTTGTAGTGTACATTGTACCTTTGAACTTCTGTTTGAATGAACGCAGCATGACCTTTAACCCAACTTCCACTTCGTATTCCTGAACCTCCTGTGCGGTTTCGGTTTCGCTCTCTCGCTGTACTTTCACCTAGTACACTCCCCGAGCTGACCACCGTCTCACCTCCAGATAAGTGTGTACTTTTTATTTCTTATCAAATTCCATATCTCTTTTGCAAATACAATTCCGGTCCAGTTACACTTGCCATTTTGAGTCTTTTAACTTTGATTCCGTTCGTTAGTACTTGCACGTTAGGCAGAGTACTATTAAGGCCATAAACGGTGAAGAAGTTTTGTAAGAGCGGTTATTGTTAGGTCGAAGTAAATCTAAGTCCAACTCTTACAAGTGGTGAGCCCGAGTTTTCACCGTTGTCTACTTAGTAGCCTAAAGTGTAAATAGTCCTTTTTCATATTGGCAATTTGTTTTTCACACAGTTATAAAATTTTACTTGCCTTGTTTTTACTAATATTTTTTTGTTGTCATATTTGTTGTTATCATTTTATATATATATATCGTCTTGTTCGCGGGATGGCCGTAACCGCTAGTCCCACTCAGACGAAGGACTCCTCTACCAAAGGGTCATCAAAATTAGATGTGGTGGCCTACATAGCTAAGCTTTATGAAGAGATAGATAAGTTAAGACAGGAGATGACACCTAGAGGTCGTTCGGATAGCCGCATCAGCTCGACTCGTGGTAGATCTTCTTCACGAGCTGACAGCAGGCGTCGTAGGCCTCAAAATTCCCAACGTGGAGTGTGCTGGTATCACCGGCGTTATGGTGACAAGGCCCAAAAGTGCACTCACCCGTGCACCTTTGATGGCCAGCAATCGGGAAACCAGTAAGCCAGCACGTATTGGCGACTAACGTCGCTGGCGAACCACTTCCATGTCGCCTCTTCTATGTTACAGACCGTAACACTGGGACTCTCTTCCTGGTTGACACTGGGGCGGAAGTTAGCGTGATTCCACCAACATCTGAAGAGCGCCAGCGGCCACTTTCCTTACAGCTTCGTGCCGCAAACGGTTCGCCAATCACCACGTACGGCAAAAGGTTCCTGGATCTTAATATAGGCCTACGTAGGTCATTTCGCTGGGTTTTCCTTGTAGCAGATGTAACTACTGGTATTATTGGCATGGATCTCATGCAACACTATCAGCTACTGGTTGATACTGGCAAACACGAATTGATCGATTCAGCTACAAACCTTTCGATCTCCGGTGTTGTGACGCACACACCTGCATTAAGCCCAGTATATTCAACCCCTGCCTCTAACGGCCCTTACGCTGAAGTTCTCCAGTCCTTTGCCAGTCTGTTCAAACCGGTTTCTAAACTTCCTAGTGTGACGTCTACTGTCACTCATCATATCGTGACCACTGGTCCACCAGTATTTGCAAAGCCACGGCGATTGTCCCCAGAAAAACTACAAGCCGTGAAGGCTGAATTCGAACATATGTTAGATATGGGGATAATCCGTCCATCCAGCAGCCCGTGGTCTTCCCCTTTACATGTGGTGCCAAAGAATAACGGGATAGATTGAAGGCCTTGTGGTGACTACCGCAGGCTTAACGCACAGACCGTGCCAAATCGCTACCCCGTACCACATATACATGACCTCACGTCGTCACTAAAGGGTGCCACGGTATTCAGCAAAGTGGACTTAACCAGAGCCTATCACCAGATTCCAGTTCATCCAGACGATATTCCTAAAACGGCAGTGATCACCCCTTTTGGTCTTTTCGAGTTCCTTCGAATGCCGTTTGGTCTCCGCAACGCCGCACAAACATGTAGGCGATTTATTCACGATGTTTTGCGCGAATTGGATTGCGCATATGCTTATCTCGACGATATTCTTGTGGCTAGCCCAGATGAAGCTACCCACCGTGCGCATTTACAGATGGTATTTGAGCGGTTAACAAGCCATGGTTTGACACTTAACATGTCTAAATGTCAGATTGGCGTCCATTCATTGACCTTCCTGGGACATGTCATTAATGAACAGGGAATTCGCCCGCTATCTGAGAAGGTGCAGGCAATACGCGACTTCCCGGAACCTACGTCAATAAAATCTTTGCGCACATTTCTCGGCATGGTGAGTTATTACCGACGGTTTGTTCCCCAATGTGCACATATTTTACTGGCACTCACAAACCTACTAAAGAGCAAGAGCAAAACGTTCAGCATGACACCAGAGGCTCGAGAAGCCTTCCAGAATATTAAGTCGGCAATTGCAGGCGCCACCATGCTAGTCCACCTAGACGTCCATCTTCCGCTTAGCATCTCAGTTGATGCATCTAACACAGCCATTGGAGCTGTTCTACAGCAGCTGGTACATATTTCATGGATACCAGTTGCCTTTTTCTCTCGGAAGTTGTCCACCGCTGAAGCGAGGTATAGCACCTTTGGCAGAGAACTCCTCGCCATATACGCGGCTATCAAACATTTTCGCCACTTCGTCGAAGGTCGGAAATTCACAGTATTTACCGATCACAAACCCCTGACGTATGCCCTCCACACTACTAGAGATAGATATTCTCCACGCGAATTGCGTCACTTGGACTAAATTTCACAATTCAATTCGGATATTCGACATATTTCGGGGGTTGACAATGCTGTGGCGGACGCCTTGTCTAGGATATGTACCATGTCGGCGCCAACAACCATTGACCTGAAACAAATGGCGCAACGTCAGCTTAAAGAGTTAGATCTTGATAAGCTCTCGTCAAATACCTCCTTACATATCAAGCGTATACCGCTTGTTAATAGCGAGGGTACCATCCTCTGCGATCTGTCCGCCGGTACCCCGAGACCCATCGTTCCACCTTCATTGCACCGTATGGTATTCGATAGCCTCCACAACCTTTCCCACCCAGGTATCCGGGCAACGGACAAACTAGTGTCAGATAGATTTGTCTGGCCTGGTATAAATCGCGACGTGCGTATCTGGGCACGTGCCTGTGTGCCGTGTCAACGAGCTAAAGTCCACAAACACAACATCACTCCAGTGGGTTCCTTCTCCACACCTGATGCTCGCTTTAGCCACGTACATCTAGATATAGTGGGTCCTCTACCACCATCAAATGGCCACTGTTACTTGTTGACATGTGTCGACCGGTTCACTCGTTGGCCAGAAGCTATTCCCATCTCCGATACGACCGTGGAAACCATTTGCCGAGTGTTCATGGAACGCTGGGTAGCTCAATTCGGATGCCCATCTACGGTGACTACAGACCGTGGACAGCAGTTTGAATCAACCCACTTCCAGAAGCTCTTAGAGCTGCTGGGGTGTAAACGCATCCGAACAACCGCGTACCATCCAGCAGCAAATGGACTTGTAGAACGTTTTCACCGCCAACTGAAAGCTTCATTAATGGCTACCGAGAATACTAAGTGGACCGAGTCCCTTCCCCTAGTGCTACTTAGCATCTGTTCCACGCTCAAAGCAGATTTACAGTGCACCTACGCATAGTTGGTGTTTGGTACCACCCTTCGTCTACCGGGTGAAATTATCTCACCTGAAAGTGGTGAGCCAAGTGTTACGGATGTACACTGTTATGCTCAGAACCTCAAGCGCCTTATGCAGCGCCTGCAACCAACTCCCACACGCACACAAAACAAGAGAGTGCAAGTAGATGCTAGGCTCGATGACTGTACACACGTTTTTATGCGTGGTGACACCGTTACAACCTCCTTATGATGGACCATTCAAGGTCGTTAGTAGGAAAGAAAAATTTTTTGTTATTGATCGACTTGGCCGTCAAGACACCGTAAGTGTCGACAGACTTAAAGCGGCCTACATTGAAGAATCTGTACCCCTCACGCCTACACAACCAGCAACTACGCCTGCACCCACACCCCAGCCAAGTTCGATTGTCGAAAATTCTACTAAACCTAGCAGTTCCCCGGATGAGACAAGTAAAGCACCGATTACACGCTCTGGTCGGCGTGTACACTGGCCTAAACGATAGTGTGAATTTGTTAACTAAACGCTTTTAATTACAAGAGTTACTCATACCTTCATGTCTTTTCTCACGTTACATTCATTTTTCATGATATTTACTCTTTTGGGTTTCGTTGTGGGCAGTAGCCACTTTTTCATTTACTAATCCTGCTAGATTTCTTTCTCGTTACAGTGTTCTAACATTCTATTTTTGGCGTTGCACTCGAACCGCTAGTTAGACCAGTCCATTCCATTGTCGTATGGTGACTCCCAACACTCGTGGAATTACAAACCAAACGAACAAAAATATGGACCAGATAAAAAAATAATAATAAAATTTTAAAAAAAAATATAATAAAATGTAAAAACAAAAACTTTCACTGTATAGTTAAACGGACCGTTAAATATTTTTGTATATAAATACGTCACTTCTATGCTGTACATTTTAATCCGCTCAATCTATTTTCACAGATTTTACTATTTTTACTCGAGTTATGCCATGATGAAACTTATTTATTTTGTGACCCATACTTGTAATTACTTTGCATCACTTTAATTATACAGCTCGCAACATTTAAAAAAAAATGGTGATTGTACCTATTCATAGCTATTGGTTATACACACACTTCTCTGTACCTTGCATAAGTTTTCACAGCGCTAGCAATTTCCCTTGTTTTATTTCAATTTGGCGTACCACTCCCATGTTGCACTAGTTTCCTTGCATTTATCCCGCTTAAGTTCTTTTTAACACGTTATGCTGATTCTTAAATCTTAACCTCTTCTTCTATTCTTTTCTGTTGCTTTTACTTTATTCCTCCTAATACGCTGGTATATTGATTGCCTTTGGTGTTACTACTAGTTTTGGTTGATGAGGAAGGATGGAGCATTAGTCTAAGAGGAAACTTAGACATAATGAGTCACCTTCCCGTTATAACAACCTGGGGTAACGGAGGTAAACCATCAGACCTCCACATAACCCAGCCCGTAATAGTATGTCGTAAAAAAAACTAATTAAATAAATAAAATAAAAATAAAAAAGATAAGTAAAAATAAATGATGTTAAAAAAAACAGACAACTCAGAAGCTCGAAATCGCACCAAGGCACCAGCGTTATTCTTTCTTATATTCCATCTTACTCCATTGATCATGTACATAGTGCTCATAAGTTGCCTTAATTTTTTTCCCTTCATTCTTTCCTTTCACAAGAACTATTTTATTACTATCTTCACACCTTCTTGTTCATTCACTGTTATTATACACCAGCTTGTTACTTTTATATATCGAAGCTTGCTGTTATCCCACCAACCTTCTAAGGGGGGGATAACCTGTAGTATACATTGTACCTTTGAACTTCTGTTTGAATGAACGCAGCATGACCTTTAACCCAACTTCCACTTCGTATTCCTGAACCTCCTGTGCGGTTTCGGTTTCGCTCTCTCGCTGTACTTTCACCTAGTACACTCCCCGAGCTGACCACCGTCTCACCTCCAGATAAGTGTGTACTTTTTATTTCTTATCAAATTCCATATCTCTTTTGTAAATACAATTCCGGTCCAGTTACACTTGCCATTTTGAGTCTTTTAACTTTGATTCCGTTCGTTAGTACTTGCACGTTAGGCAGAGTACTATTAAGGCCATAAACGGTGAAGAAGTTTTGTAAGAGCGGTTATTGTTAGGTCGAAGTAAATCTAAGTCCAACTCTTACAACCTCCTCCAAGTCACCCTTGCACTGACGACCAACTTGCCGCTTCCCTTTCGGGTTCCACTCGAGCGATGGCTTGTCTAGTGATATCACATGATGGTTTCCTCAGAGTATGGCCAATCCATCTCCATTTCTTCCTGCCTATCTGTTTCACAATCGGTTCCTGGTTGGTTAACTAGTGTAATGTGTGTGTGTGTGTCTAGTCCTTTGTTTGGTGCGGACTCAATTCTAACGTCATTCAAGTTTGCAATGTGGCCACCATGCTACTAGGTGGCTCGCCTTCGCGGTGCATTGTGAATTGTTGATATTAGATGGTTGCAGGCAGTCGGCGCAAAACCTGGGACCTAGATTTCGTCCTGGCTGGCACTCACCACCAGTAATCAAGTCATATCTTCAATCACCTTGAAGGAACTCATGTCCCTTCTCTGGGTAAGGTACTGGTTGTGCTGTTGATAAGTCGCACTTTACCACACCTTACTAGCCACCCAAAAAATTCAGTACTCTTCCTATTCTGTAGGTACTGACGACAAACACAAATTAAAAAGGTTCACTTGATTGAATATGTACCCTGTTGAGGAGTATATTTTGAGTAATGAAAAATGTCGAGATTATCCAGGGAAAAAGATTTAGAACTTATCTAACGGCTATATGACTGTATTACAAACTCGAAGAATGCGCGCGTTAATAGTACACAATGGAAAAGAGTAAAACGGCGTTGGAGTCAGTGCGAATGTGCACAAATTAAAATAAAGTTTGGAAATTGTACTGTGGTGAGAGCTGTTAGCAAGACAAAATTGTAGACAACAAATTACGTCAATGTTTACGTCCCGAATAGGGGGCATGAGAAAAAACAATAGCAAAGCTTAACCTTGAGGAACTCACCAACCAATCACAGAAGACTTAACGTGTGCAAATACGATTCGCAGATATTTGGCTTAACTTTCTGAGAGATGGTCACAAGCAGTACAGAATAACACTGAGCAAGAAAACAACCAATCAGAAGACATTGCTTCTCTGCTAACAATAACGCTAATAATAATGTACATAAAAATCTATAAATATCTCTTGATTTTCTCAATAAACGATCTTTTACCTGACCCTTGTCTTCTGTCGTTACAGTACTACATATATTTATGAGAAATAAAATGAAACGTATATGACTGATAAATGAATAAACTACAATGGTTGTGAATGTTTCACGGTTCGAGTTCAAACTGGTAGATGTGGGGAATGAAGTATAAGAGATTGAAATTAAGATTATAAAGGACTATATATGAGTTAAATTGACACACATTAAACAATTAGATGTCACAAAAAAGACTTGAAAATGTCAGAAATTTTAAATTGAATCACAAACGCAAGGAAATGAATTACTGAAAACTGATAGTTTCAAATGAGTCAAGAATAATAATGAGTGACAGAATAAAATGTTAATAATAAATCACAACATAAGTTTCCAGACCGTAGATGATACGAATTTCCTGGAATAACAATTTGAGCGCCGAGTCAGACTAAATCATTATAAATTATTTAAAATAATCCAAGCGTGTTTTAGAAAAAATCAAAACAAGATCTGTTTTCTGAACGTTTCGCTGTGAAAGCTACAGAAATGAAGTAGATTAAAAAGTGCCGAGAAAAGATCGGCTATAGCATGCATACTATCTATGGACAGCGGACATAAGACTGATTTTGACAATGTCGAAATTCTAGGAAGAGGATTTCATTCATCACATAAAGAAAGATTAACCTCTGAAGCCTTGCACATTCTAACCACATCGAATGCAGTAAATAGGAAGGAGAGAAGGAATAGACTTATCACCTACCTACATGGCAAACTCTAATGAAGCAAGACAGGTGAAAAGAAATACAACAAAAACCTATACGAACCTCTATGACCTTTGAAAAAAGAGGATTATCATGTTTATAACATGTGAATTGACGTCTTTTCCATATGACAAATATCAAACACTCATACAGAAAAATATTCACATTAAGAATTTGACATTAGTCATTACAAATATCTGATGACTGCTTACATATTTCTATTGGTACAAATGTCTATCGACAGGTGACATTCGAATGAACTGACTTCCATTTATGTGAAAAATTTTTGATTAAATATTTTGATGATTAATAAAATCCGAATAATTCTACTGGCTGAGGGAGCTGTGGCATCTTACACAGCGAAACGTTCAGAAAACAGATTTGTTTTAGTTTTTTCTTAAACACGCTGAGATTAATTTAAATAATTTATGATGAATAATAACAACAGTTAATAAGTAGACGGTATTATTTCATACATTTGGTACCCCTGACGAATTTCTATACAGAAAGAAAGGAAGATCAGATTTACAGAAAAAAATATTGATGTCATCATTCTTTTTTACAGCCTTTCCCCAATCAGCTGCACACCAATACCTGTGATTACAATGCTTAGAAACAGTGACAATCACACACTCCATTGTTTGAATGCCAGTAGTAAAGAAACTGCTTTCAAAATGAACGTATCCATAAAATATAAACATTACAATTGGCTTTACTTTAAGTTATCATCACTTTATATGCTAATATAATTCAGCTGCTCCTACAGAAAGCTGCCTATATACGACAAACAACTAGACAACTCAACAAACGTGTTAATCAGCATCTTCCTTCATGATTCAGAAAGGCCAAGTAAAATCTACAAGAAGATCTATTTTGTCTTATTTGATTGATGATGGTGGTCACCAAGTGGACAGAAGAAGTGCCTTCAAAGTGACTTATCTATCGCATTCTACCAAGCTTTTCGAAAGGAATTCGAACTCGCTTGTTAAACACAGCCACAGCTATGGGAAATAATTCGAGAGAACAATCCCAGTGTCTTTGCATACAACAAAAGAAGTTTGTTCTACCTTTGTTTCCCTCACCCTTGGCCTAGATAAATTCTAATTAGGAAAACACTTCCCGCCCTTTCTTATTTTCCATCTCCTACGTATTTTTATGATATTTATTTAAACTCTGATTATCTGTCCACTTCACCTACCTTTAGTATTGCGTAACTTTTAGGATTTGACCTAATTTATTTATTTATTTATTGAATTGTCTACATATACACACAGATATTACTACCTTCGTTATTCATTTCGCCATCTGCATACACCTTATCATTGTTTTGTTATCATTATAATCATCGTTATTACTGACATTCAAAACATTTACCACACTACTATTATTATTATTATTTGATCCACAAACTCACCGTCATTGGTTAAATTTCGTTATACGTATAAATCTATGTAAATTGGAGTGGAGCCTGAAGAAGATCTAATTGAAAGCAACAATATTGT